CTAAAATATTATCAAACTTATAATAATAACAAAAGCTCAAATTTCAACCATTTAAAAGAAAGAAACGATGATTGGTGCCATTGATGAAGGAAAAAGACTACTTGCTCAAGTCTTTTTTATTATATTATTTTACGTTAGGTAGAGGGAAACTATGGTCCTTAATAAACCACCAAACATCCCCATCCTAAACTTAATACGGACCAGCTACCGACAACAATGATACTAAAAACCCAAAACATCGGATTTAGAATTTGAATTAGATTATTTTGACTGAGAATTTGAGTTACGTTAAATTAAATGACTAAAACATAACAAAATAAAATCTAAAATTCAAATTAAAATGTGTAAAATATCATTTTAGTGACTAAACTAGAAGATTACAAAACACCGAGGGATTGTAGACGTTATTTTACCATGTACGAAATTACGCACAGACCCCTCCCCCAAAACGTTCGGGGAGGGGTATATAAACCCGAAAATCGGCCCTAATGGCCTATCTCTCTCATTTTTCATTTTCATCTTATCTCTTAGAGAGAAAATCTCTGCCATCTCTCTAGGTTTTCCTCGTCAAAGGGAAACCAGTCACCACCGACAGTCGTACTTCGGCGTCGATGACCACCGCCGGCCACCACCTATGGTGGCCGAAAATTACAAAATCACCTTAAATTTAGATCTCTCCAACCTAAAGCCAATTCTAGCATCTTATTTTCCTAAAAACCCCTCAAAATCAATAGATCTAAAAAATTCAGAAGGTTTTACCTCGGTTTACACAAAGTTTCCGGCGACGTTTGGGCTTTCTGAAGGTAAGTTCTTCTCTCCTTCTCTTTTCATTCGATTTACTGCTGGGGTTGTTGTTTTCGTTGCTATTATTGTTTGTTGCTTGTTGTGTTGGTCCTCCTTGCTCTCTTTTCTATTCGTTTTTCTTCTTCTTGCAGGATCGGTGGCCTTTTATAGGCCACCACGATGCTGCTCTCCTCGGGCAGATTACAAGGGTAACCTTCGGTGAGTCACCGAAGGGATGCGACGTGTGCGGCCGGTGTAGATCTTCTTGAAGCTTTGGTGTCGTGGCAGTAGATAGTTGGAGAACATGGCGGCGGAGCAGTTGAAGTAGAGGCGGCAAAGCAGTTGGATGTGAGACGGTGCCGAAAATCACCCTAGGGTTAGTGAACCCTAGGGTTTCTGCTGGATCCATTTTGGGCCGTTGGATCTCTCCAGATCCAACGGTTGATATTATTGGCAGCTGGAGATAGGGTTTAGGAAACCCTAGTTACATCTGGATCGGGTCTTGTTGGGTCGGGTCTGGATTTGCTATCTAGGCCTCTCTTCGAGTTTGGGCCTCCGGGATTTGTATCTAGACCCTCTGGGTCAACTGTTGTAAATTGGGTTTGTAATAATAATAATTTAATAATAATAATAATAAGAAGGGGCAAAAAGATCTTCGAATCTGTGGAACAACTGAGGATCATAATCAGGTTTCAGGAGCAAACGAATATGGACTAAATGGATTAATTTACCTTCGACTTGAAGAGTGCGTGGATCTTGAATGCTTGGTTGATACCACAACCGCGAATGGACCACCTTCTGTGTTCACTCATTTGGAGATATTATGGATAATACATAGCCATGGTTTGGAAACCTTATGCAAGGGTCAGCCTCCACAAGATTTCTTGAAAAACTTAAAGGAATTGGTTGTTAGACATTGTAAAAATTGCAATTCGTGTTTCAAATGGATGATCTCCCTTGCAATGGGGAATAAAATCAAGAGAAACCACTTTCAAATTTACAATCTTTGGAGCTCTTAGGTTTACAAGAATTGAGATGGATATTGAAATGCTCAGCCCATTCTTTTAGTCTCCAAAGCCTTAAGGTTGTAAAAATAGAAAAGTGTGGCAAATTGGAATCACTCCTCTCCTTCCCTCATTCAAAGCCTGGTGATGTTAGAAGAACTCCGGATAAGCGGCTGTGATGGATTGAAAACGCTCATCGCAGAGCTGGAAAATAATGATGGTGAAACAGAATCACACAGTTCTTTCCCTACTCTATTCTTGTGTAAATTGAAAACTCTCGACATCAGTAGTTGTTCAAAACTAGAATATGCTCTGTCAATCACTTCGGCTAAAGGTCTTGCTGCTCTTGCAACGATTTCAATTTGACATTGTGATGAACTAAAGCAAGTCTTTGGCAAGGTAAAAGAACAAAATGGAGTTGAACAAGATGGATATTTAATTGTAAAACACAATGTTAGACAATCTATCCGTGGTTGTTTCTTGCTGCCTTCAGTTGCTCTTTCCGAAGAAGACTAGTGAAAATCAAAGAAAATATGGGGAGGAAAAAAAAAAAACAATGAGTATGGTGTATAAAATAATAAACTGGAATTTAGTATTGGGTAAGCTATGCAAATAGTCCATTTTGTTTTAGTCTGATCGACTTTGGTCATCAATTTAAAAATTAAGGCTATCTGGTCCCTAACATTATCAATCCGTTCGATTTTAGTCCCTAATGTTACCAATTCATTATATTTTAAATCATATTCTTTTTGTGAACTTTAGCCCTTAATATTTTATTTTAATTAAATTGATATTTTTTTAATAAAAACCATTAATTAACTAGTGATCAAAGTTTATTAAACAGATCCACGTATAATGAAATTTTGATGTAGTATTATCACAAATGATTAATTAATGATGTGACAGTATGACCATTTAACAATTAAGTCAAGCTATGATTTTGTTTTACTTTCACAAGATACAATATATAATATAGCATCAAATTTTGTATTTTAATATTTTTTAAATAGTAATTTTAATCCTTATTTTTTAAAGTATTTTAATTTTCAACATTTTATTTTTGTCAAATGATATTTTGAAGTGAAAAATTATTATTTAACTAATAGTCAACATTTATTATTCATATGTCATATATACATATGTTAAAGTGTTAATATGATATTATTATCACGTGTACATAAATGCTAACATGCCATATGCTATGTCAACACCTGTTAACATTTAAATACATATAATATGTCATATCAATATTAAAGTATGTATAACATTGTTAGGTCAATATTTAAGCATTTATTACAATGCCACAATAATACTTAAACACATGTGACAATATCATATTAACACTTAAGTACATATAGCGATATCATATTCGTAATTAATATTGACAGTTATCTAACTAATAGTTTCCATCTTAAAAGATTCATTTTAACAAAAATAAATGAAACATTAAAAATTAAAGTGCTTAAAAAGAGAATATGAACAAAATGATTATTCAGACAAATGTTAGAGACGGTTTTTCAAATTATATGTTGTATGTAACTAAGATTTCACTAATTAAAAGAAAATAATAAAACCTCCTTCACCACCACCATGGTTGAATCTTTGTTAGCCATTTTTTTCAATGTCGTCGATGAATGTTCACTGTCCAACCAGAAAGCATTGCTGACTTTAAGTTTGTTGTTAAAGAAACCTTAGACATCTTTGATTCATGGAGAGACACTGAAGTTTCTCTCCATGGTGAGTCATATGATCACATTCTTCAAAAATCCGACTATTTAACTTTCAATTACATGACTAGTTCAATCTACCTTTTTGTTTGTCAACTCGACAAGCTCTCAACACTATTACACTAATCATCGCTGATTAGAAAGGCATCACCGACGAGATTCCACCGTGTCTTAGATCTTATTCATAATTTACGGTCGAGGAAAATCTCATAATAAGATCTTAAATCGAGAGTTTACGCTGATTATAAAGGACACCCTCCAAAAGTTCATTGTCTTAAACTCTCAAGCTAACCGATGAAATCCCAAGCTCTATCGAGCTTTAAACATCTCGATTTAAGCAACAATCACCTCACCGACAAGATTGATGTTGAATCATGCTTTATTGTGTCAAACCAACCTACTAATAACCTCCATCTATAAAACTCCAACTTTTAATCATATATGATATATTATATTATGATCTAAAATGAAATGTTAGAGGTTAAAGTACGAAAACGGAAGAATGATTTTAACTAATGTTATCAAAATGAATCGGACCGGTCGGTTCGACCGATTAAATCGAGAATGATTGCTTGTTGGGTATGATCAGCCTCCAAAACCAGTTTTACAATGAACCGCTAAAGAACCGGTAGAACCGTTTGGGAACCGACAAAACCAGTGTGAACCGGCGGTTCAAGCGGTTCACACGGTTCTTTTTTTTTAAATTAAACCAAACGACGTCGTTTGTTATGATTTTTTCAACCCCAAATTTATTTTCTAATTTTGCATTTGGGTTAATCTTTGCTTGTTTATTTTAGTTATATAATTATATTTATTATTTAATATGTTTTACACTTTTACTTTTAATTGTTAAGTATTATTTGGGAATTTAAATTTAACTTTGTATTTATTTATCATATTGCTAGGTGATGAAGACTTGATGCTGTGGACTTTCAAGTTCAAAGTGATGTTATGAATTTTAAGTTCAAAGTGGTGATGGCGGTGGTAGTTCAACTAATGAAGAAACTTTTCCCAATATTTTAGAATTTGAGAGAATCAATTTCAATGAATATTATGATGATAATATTTGTATCAATTATGTACTTTTTTATTTAGTTGATGAATTTCATTAATATTGACCTTAAATATTATGTTGTAGTTGATTTGAATCATTTTGTTTCACTTGATATTATGATATTTAACTTATATATGTTATGACGTGATATTTTTATACCTTTTAATATTGTGAACTTAAAAAGAGTGTTATATATATATATATATATATATATATATATATATATTAATATTGCTTTGAATATTATGTAAAATTAAAAAAAAATTATTTTATATAAACCAATTCAACCGCGGTTTAACCACGGTTGAACCAGTACCTTCATTGGTTTAAAGTCCGGTTTTAAAAACATTGATTTTGACATCATACCAAGAAATTAATAGATTTATCACTCATTGCTTTGAAAATAAGGAGAACATGAAACTATTGCTACCTTATTTAAGGGGAACAAAAGAGTGATTTTTAACAGTTTCAACAATAGTTACAACAAAGCCAATGTTCTAAAATTTTTGCATGTAATAGCTTTGAAAATGGTCTAACAATACACACGGGGCATGCACCGATTTACTACATTCCAAAAAAGTTGAATGCAAATCCACATATAAGCAAGATTTTTAACCAAATAATTTATGAGTATTTCACACTACCATCATCACTGCAACCTTTCAAGCCAACACCACCTCCCAACCCTATGATAGATGCCTGAAATGTGAATGGGAAGAAGAAATAGGAGACCAAGGTTAAGAAAAGAAGATCCGATAAAGGGAATTCATATGTTTTTCATTTTATGACCATCAAGTTCTGCCAGTCCTATCATACCAGAAACTATACCTAATTACCTATCTGTTACAGTTCCATAGACTCTATGGGCCTCAGACTCTCAGTGTTGTAGGCCATTACTAACCCAATATAAACTATAACCCATTGCAAAACCAACACTTGATATTTAACTAATTTTAATAAAAACTTGAAAAATTAGTCTAAATAATTAGTAAGGTAATGAGAATATCAAGAGTGTATCCACTATAGTGGTCGTAGCCAAGGCCAAACGCCATTAAGATTAACCACAGCACTAACTGTCAGGGAAAGGTATAACAGAATGGTTTTGTTTCGGCAAGCCATATGACAACATTGCAAAAACAGTTCCAACCTCTCATAGCATCACTAACTTAAAAAGAAGCCATCAAATTTAATCTATATGAATAAAGATCACAAGCTGCAGTATGCAACCTCAATGTTTCAAAAGATCATTTTCAATATTCACAATATAAGACAACCAGTAAGTACAAACATTAGTTTCCCATTTCGATATAAGAAACATATGAAAGTTCTAGAGAGGAAAGACTAGAATCTTGATTTTGTAATCTTGACTGTCTATCAGCCTCAATAACCTAACAAGTTCATAAAATCATTAATCACTATTTTAGATCTCCTATTTCTTTCTTTCGAAGTAAAGTTTAGCCTTACATTCATCAGGAAGATCAAAACAAGAACCGGATTCCCAAACATAGAAAGAACTTGAATCCTTTTTTGTGACAAGTTGACAACCAAAGACACAAGAAGGTCAATACTTAAGTCTTAACTATAAAAAAATTAGGATGATGAACCAAGTTCTAGATAACAAAGTTTATCCCGCAAAAATTATTCAATGAAATGGAATCAGAGGACAAGGATCTACCTTTTGCAGAACTCAGTTACATATCGTGAGCTGTTGTAGAAGACAAACCACATCAATACAATCACCAACGTGTCTTCCAAAGTTTAGGAACTAACAATTGAGACATTACAATTACATACTCAAAAACTGTTGCGGTGAACAAAGAATAGGACCATTTGACAATTCTAACTCACAGATAAGAAAGCCAATTTTCTCAAAATTCCAAAATCAAACTCTGTAAAATTATGCCAACAGAACAAATACTAAAACTGATGACATAACAGAATACTTGAAAACAGCTCCTTATATAACAATATCAACATAATTTTGCCATATGAGAGGCTTCTTTTTTAAAAAAAAATTAAAAGATGAATGATGATGAAGTCATCAAAAGAAAATATTAGCAGCCATTACAGTGTGCAAATCCCAAAATTCTAAAACAGAACTTATACATACTAGGCATCTTCAGATAAAAATGAAGAGAAAAAGGATACTGAAAAGGTAACGTTCCCACCAATCCAACATGTAGAGTCCAAAAGTGACATTGTAGAGATAGATCTTGCGCTGAACCCAGTTCATATCTCTAACTCCTATAAACAAAAGTATATAGATGCCTGGAATAATAATTACAGGAACCGGAAATTATCAACAAAAAATCATCCAATTGAATAAAAGATTACAAATTTATACAGAAACGAATAACAAATATGAAATTGGTTAAAATATGTTGCTCAAATCATCTTAACCTATAATTCAGTTTCTATCAGACGCAACTTCTTTTTTCTCAATACAACGGCCATGATCACAAATGATTATAATAAAGATGTGAGGAAAACTTGATACTTGGGTATCCAAACATTATTGGCATTATTTACTTTACGATTCTATAAACAAACAAAGAAAGAAAATAAATTTTCAAGGAAATAAGGACCGAAATTATGCCAAACCGTAACAAAGTAAATAAAGAGTAGTAAAAATTAAATTTGAACGATATTTCATATGCATCCAGGGATAAGGAGCTTAGCTATTTAAATCAAATGAAAAAAATGAAAAATAGAAGAAATAGATTCAGATTTATGAACAACTTGACAAAAAAAAGGTAACAAAATCTTGAGGACAAAAGGAATCAAAAGCTTACCTCACGAATGCAGACGGCGTCGAAGGTAACGTTAATGACGGCTCCGGTGATGGGATCGAGAAAGCGGGCTCCTATGAGATTTGCTAAGCCAAGGAGATGAAAGGAAGATAATTTTTGGCCTTTGAGTCTTTTCCGGTCAAATGAGACAGCAAGTAATTTCCTTTGACAAAGTAAATGACGGTTCTGCCATTTATTTAGTGACGTGTCAGTTATCGATTCGTTACATTTAATGCAACCAAACAGTGGTCTGTCCCATAAAACTCCCCTTATGATTTCAAGTTGTTCAATAAATTCATTGTTTTGAAAATCAGATTGGACCGGCCGGTTCAACCGGGAACCGTATCCTAGCCCGATTCAATTTAAACCAGATGAATCGTTATTAGTGAATCGGCTAAAACCGTTGAACCGTTCGAACTGGACCGGCTGAAAACCGGAAAAACGGGAAAAAACCGAAAATTTTGTTTTTTTTTTAAATTAAACCAAACAAAGTCGTTTGTTAAACGAGCCAAGTCGAACTCGAGTATTGCTGAGCTCGACTCGAACTTGAAAACTTTAAAAGTAAACTCAACTCGACTCAAACTCACAAGCTAAAAATTATTAAGTTCAACTCAAACTCGAAATATAATATTGAAACTTGAACTCAAAAAGGCTTGAACTAAAAAAAATTAGAAGTTTGATTGAAGCCTAAAATTCGAGCTTGATTGAAGTGAAATAATAGTTCACTCAATGCTCACCAAAAGACTCCATGATTTTAAATGCCAAATTACCTCTATTATTTATAGAAGTTAGTTGTGATGCTCTTCTATGTTTCTTAGCAATGTGGGATTGTTTTGTTCTCATATTTTTACTCTTTAGACTTTTGGGATGCTCTTCTATGTTTCTTAGCCATGTGGGATTGTTTTAAAAAAAATTAAACCAAATAATATCATTTTGTTATGATTTTTTAACCCCAAATTTATTTTTTAATTATAGTTATATAATTATAATTATTATTTAATATGTTTTACCTTAAATATTATGTTGTAGTTAATTTGAATCATTTTGTTTCACTTGATTTTATAGTTTTTAACTTATATATGTTATGACTTGCTTTGAATATGACTTGTGATATAAAAAATTATTTTTTATTAAATATTTTTGGTATTTTTATTTAATTTTTTAAATAATTATGACGTCGTCCGGTTCTTCCGACCGGTCGGACCGATTCGACCGGTTGAACCAGTGAACCAGTAGCATGACCGGTTCACTAACCGGTCCAGTTCTGAAAACCATGGAAAAAAGTGATACTATTTTTAAAATGTCTAAATTATCAATTTTTTAAAAAAAGTGATGGTTATTTTTTTCTCACGATAAATTCTTACATTTAACGTTATAAATGTTATTATTTTAGATATTTAGCCCATAACAAACATTAAATTTTATTATTAAATGACATGTATTATATTCTAGTAACTTTAAAAATTTTATTCAAGAAAATTTATTTTTTAAAAAAGACTCAAAATTTTCAAAAATCTTAAAACCTCCCCAAAAAAAACCTAAATCTAATTCCTATACCCATGCCACTCGCCGCCCTTTACCATCGTCGTTGCCATCGACTAAACCTACTACCAACTGCGGCTCCACCGACGACCACCCACGCGACAAACAACCACTGATGAAGCTCAATCGCGATTTAAATCTGACGAACGAAATAAAAAAATCGTCACATTGCTCGACTCCATGAGACCCGACACCTCGAGCGATGGTAAGGACGACGTCGGCAGAAAATGAATGAGACGTCGATTGTGGATGGCAAGGTAGAAACCAGGGTTAAGAATTTGGGATTGATTTTAGGGATTTGGGCCTTTTTGTAATTTTAGAAAAATTAGTTTTTTTTTAATTTTTAGGTTCTTTTTAAAATAAAATTTTTAAAATCATATAAATATGAAATTTGTCACTTAACAAATTTTTAAATTCCTGTTATGGTTGAGACATCTAAAGTGATAACGTTCATAACATTAAACATATTAATTGACCGGAAAAAATTTAGATATTACTTCAAGAAAAACGATATAATTTTTACATTTATTCCTATATCAAGCCATGTTGAATGTGTAACATCCTAAATCAGGGTCAGTGACTAAATTGTAAATTTTGAAAACTATATGCTCGGTTTTGAAACAAGTTAAAAGTTCAAGGATTTAAATAGAAAAATTTTATTGTTAGATTAAATGGTAATTTTTGGAAAGTTTGAAGGGTATAATGGTAATTCCATAAGAAAGATTTTTATTTCTCCTTTATATAGGAGATGGCATGTGGAAAGGGATGAAAAAAATAGACAAGTCTGGAGGCTTTGGTTCAACCTTCTTCTTCTTCTCTTCCCGTAAGCTCCATGGCAAAGGTAAGTATAATTTCAGCTGTTTAATTCTTGGATTTATAAGTTGGTTTTGATTCTTTGGGTGTTATATAAGCTTAAGGAAAGCTTATATAAGCTTTAAACATCACAAATAGTGAATTAACGAGGAAATTATATGAAGGGTGTAGAAATGAATTGTTAGAATAAAGAGGTTTTTGAAGTTTTAATTATGAATTTGACTTGTCATCTATGAGAATAAGAAGCTAGAAGTGTTAGAATTAAGTTTGGGTAACATGGAAAATTTGGTATGATTATTGATTTCTATATGGAGAATAGAATTTTGAGGTTTAAATGACATAAATGGGTATAAATTAGTTTAAGTATGTATATATGAGTTAAGAGTATAAAAGGGGTTGAAATATGAAGAATTGAAGTTGGAATAATGAATTTTCGTAGTTGAAAATGATTTCTGGGCTAGGGGGAATCAGTACCCATTCAAAGGGGTACCGATACCCTCTCAAACGAACAGAATTCCAGAATGTCATGAGGGTATCGATACCCCCAGTAGGGAATCGATACCCCCTAAAGGAAAATTGAAAATATGGGTTTAATAAGTTCGTTTAAGTTGATAGTATCCAATTGCAAGGTGTACGTATCTAATAATTGCCTTAAAATGTACATTTATGTAGATTCTGAGCATAAGGCAATTCCGGAACATTTGGCAAGTAAGATCGATCAGGGAAAAGATTAGAGATCAAGATTGACTAGTGAGGTCAGGTGAGTGCATATTCGATAGTATATGATGTGTGATGCAAATAAGACTTGCGATGAGTCTATTTCCTGAAGTGTTACATATGAATTCATGATTAAAGGCATGAGTTGAAAATGAGTGTATGTATGCTTGATTATTTGAATTGACATGTTTTGTATGTGCCATGTGGTTTATGTAAAAACACGATTAAGTGTTAATGAGAGAATATAAAATAAGTTATGAAATTATAGGAATATAGAAGATAAGTAAGAGATGTAGGGAAATGGAAATAGATGTTTATAAAGAGTCATAGGAGAACAAATATAAGTAATATGATAATGAAATATAAGACTGTGAATACATGGTTATGAGATAAAATATGTAATAATAGGAAAATACGATGAAAGTGAGTTCATGAGAAGTGATATGAACTAGGTAAACATGGGTAATAGTATATGCATAATGGAAACATGAGTTGGACAAGTACATAGTGGTATGATTTATTATGAGAATTAGTATAATAGAGCCTTTTGATTTAATGAGAGTTAAGGGAACTAAATAAGATTGAATTATAGAATGAAATGGAAATAGTATATCAATTAGGAAACTTGAATATAAAGGGACGATACGAATATGCAAGATAAGTTATATGCTAAATATCTATGGAGCTATATGAAAATATTATAATGAATATATGAAATTGAATAAAGTAAAGAGATTAAATTAGTACCTAAATAAAAATATTAAATGATATGTTTAGAAATACGACATAATTTATATAATCTAAGGGAATACAAAGAAATGGAGCATAAGGTAGATGATATGATATCAGTTATTATATACCTATATGATATATGACATCAGGTAATATGAAAGAACTCTGAAAATTTATATAAGCTATGAGAAAGTGTTATAGGTGTTTCTATGTGTTATATGAAACATATATGATCATATGTGAACAAGATATGATATGTATGTTTATATGAATACCTGAGAAATGATCTAAGCTATATGATATGATATATGTGATTATATGCACTTTGGGATATATGTTATATGACATGGATCTATGTGACTACGTGAGAAAGTATATAAGCTATGTGACATGTAAATGTGAATCATATGGAAATGTTCTATGCGTAATTGAACTATGTGTATATATGAATATGTGAAATGACAATGCCCATGTTAAGTGTCTTGAGAGCTAGAGGTATAGTTGACATGCCAAGAGTCGAGGGTCTACGCGATCCTTCGGGACATATATGTATTCCTTGGAACATGTGTGATGTCTTTTGAGACACATGCTTGATCCTTTGTATATATATATGATTCTTAAGGAATTTCTATGTGGTCCTTCGGGACAAATTCTATGCGGTCCTTCGGGACAAATTTCTACGCGGCACTTCGGTGTAAAATTCTA